GTCTTTCAGGTACCATGGGTTTTTTTTAAAAAGTCTTTTTTAATTTTTATTTTTATTATTTTTATTTACTTATCACACTTACTCTTACTCCTATTATTATTCATTTGGGTTTGCCTGATCCGTGTGTTAATTGCCCTCCTGTAAGGAAATTTTTATGAAAAGGGTGTGCCAGAGCCAATTTAATTTAATTGCCGTCTTGCCTCCCCCTTTTTTTAATAGGGGGTGGAGTGGAGGAGGTCCCTTTCTCAGAATCGAACCCCTTTGGCTCTTGCAGTATTTAAAGAGCTGTAATGATTTTTTCCCCTAGACCTGTAATATATTTTTAAGAGCCGTTAACTTTACAAAAGAGCCGTTCCCCAGCTCTTGATAGGCACCAGTTCAGCAGCCTGTGTATTTGGCCTCATTGATCCGGTCCCAAAGGGAATCTGGACTTACAAATTCACCACTAGACACTGGTCGCTCTCACACACACGCACACAAATACACACACGTACAAACGCACAAACTCACCATAAGCTACCTTGATGAAACCTTACCTGTCTGTTAATTTCTTTATGTCCTTCTTCCCTTTTTCCGTTTCCAGTTTTCTTCCAGCAGGCTCGAAACCGCCGATAGCGGCGCACTGCGGTCACATCAACCCTGAAATATGATTTGAGAGAATATGAATCACAACCACCCTCTCGTATATCTTGGTTCTTTACCGGCTCAGTTGTGCAGTCCTGGAACAACTGAAATCAGCCCCGGGGCCTCGTCTCCGAGCTACAATTAGCAGTGGTGATTTTAAAACAGGGAGCTTGTGTTCATCTGTGCAAGCTCCCGTCGGGTCCAATCAAAAGAAATTTTGAAAAACGACCTGAAAAAAGGGTGAAAACATGCAGCACCGTAAAAAAAAAAAAAACAACAACCCTATTATATTTTAAGGTGAGCTTTCGTGCCTAAATCCACTTCGTCAGACATAATGAGAGAGAAAAAATGTAACTTGCTATGCTGCGTTGCACAAACATCTATAGAATTCTGGGTAATATGTAAATGAAATGTTAGTGGCTAACTCCTTGGGAGAAGCCCTAGAAGTGAGGACCGGCGGTGGTAAAGGCGGCTGCTTGGACACCACGACCCTGCAAAGCAGACCAGAACGAGAGAGAGAGTGTGACCAGGGCAGTAAGTTTAATAGCCGAGCGGCAATCTGAACGCAGTTCTTTTAGTCTAATGCTATAGCACTATGCCATTTGGGTTAACTTCTTTGTATGCAGGGCTCTTTCTGAGCAGAGCTTTTCCAAGTAATTCCAAGCCGCTGGGAAAAGCTTCATTTTGGAACAACCCACTAAAAATAAATCTTGATAGGGACCCGCATGGCCGGCCAGGGAGATCCTGGCCTAAATGTGACTTTTTCTATCATCCACCAGACTTTTCTTAATCAATCAACCAATTTTTTAAAACTCACGGCACAATACAGTGGTGCCTCGCATGACGATGTTAATTCGTTCCACGAAAATCACTCTAAAACGAAAACATCGTCATGCAATTTTAAAAAGGCCATAGAAAAAGGCCATTAAAACCCGATTAATGCATTCCTAGGGGCTTCAAACTCACCGTCCAGCGCAGATCCTCCATGGCGCGGCCATTTTCGCTGCCCGTGCAGTGAGGAATCCATCCCAGAAAACAGCGGGTGGCCATTTTTTTTACTCGGTGGCCATTTTGAAACCGCTGATCAACTGTGCGAAAATCATCGCTTTGTGATGATTGGTTACCGAAACAGGGGACCGATCGTCGCAAAGCGAAATTCCCCCATAGGGAAAACATAGACGCAAAGCGATTTCATCGTCAAACGGAGTGCTCGTAATGCGAGGCACCACTGTATTCTGTGTGTCTGTTGAGAAGCAGAAATGAACACGAATGGGTTTCGGTCCATTTTTTAAACCCGAATTTATCCGACCCACATTTTCGTGAACTTGAATGCCATTTCTGGCTGGAGAAAAGTGCGTTGACAAGCTACGCTTTTGATCCATGCATGAACACAAAGAATTTGATCAATATTTACATTGAGAAAGACTTCCCCCAAAGTCATCATTTCCAAAAGGATACACTTTAACTGCTGGGATGATGATGATGATGCAGATACATTTCCGAAGGACACAAAAGTTGCTACATATATAAACAAAATGTATGTACAGTAGGTTGTAGGTGGAATTTGACAAAAGTTGCTACATATATAAACAAAATGCATGTAGGTTGTAGGTGGAATTTGTTTTTGGGGAAAAAGAAACACATTTAAGAATCTCAGCAACATTTTAACAGTTTCATTCTTGCTTTCAGCACGTGGGACCCACAGGATTCAGTGCAGGTTTACTCTTGAGCAAATATGCAGAGAGAAATCGCAACTTAAATGTTGCAGCTTAAGTTTTGACCACTATTGATTTTTACTGCAATGGGAGGTTTTCAGTTGTTGGCAAGAAACAGCAAATCACCCCAATGATCCTGCAGCCGAAAGCCAACTTAGGAACTGCTCAGACAGGTAGATAAATCAGCATTTGGATTGCCGTTGATACAGTTTGATTTGCACCCAATTCATGGAACCGTAGAATAATGAAGTTGAAAAGGGGCCTCTAAGCTCATCCAGTCTGACCCCCCCTTGCTCAAGGCAGGCAGCCAAGCCAAAGCATATCTCACAGAGGGTGTTACCTTGAAGTCTCCATCATTGGGAGTGCTCAACGCCTCCCGAGGTCACTCTTTCCTCATAAGGCTGTTTCCAGCTCTCCCGAGGTCACTCTTTCCTCATAAGGCTCGGTTTCCAGCTCCCCCGATCCTCCTGGTGGCCCTCCTCTCAACTTGTTCCACTTTGACAGCATCCTTCTTGAATTAACTTGTTCCAGTTTGACAGCATCCTTCTTGAATTATAGCGTCCAGAACTGGACACAGGACTCAAGGCGAGGCCTCACCAGTGCCGAATAGGGGGAGACTCGTACCTCGCGGGATTTGGAGACTAGACTTTTCTCAATGCATCCTACAATCGCATTGGCCTTTTTTGCAGCTGCATTGCCCTGTGGGCTCCATTCCAAGATCCTTCTTGCTCATATTATTACTGAGCCAAGGATCTTGTAACTGTGCATTTCAGGTTTTTATCCCGCTAGTAGCAGAACTTTGCACTTACCCCTTGTGCTCTCCCCACATGCTTCTACTCAGAGCAACGCATCCTGCTCCTTTATGATGGCAGGCTTAGAGTGCACCACCTGGCTATTTCATGAACATTATCGTTATTCCCTTGCTTTTCATTAGTCCAGGTGGACTTGGTGGGAAGGCGGATGTGCCTTGTGGCCCAGGGGGTGCCTGCCCCCAACATTTGGGGGCCCCTGAGCTGCCCAGGTGCTCTGTCCTGTTTTTATTTTAAATTTAGGGTCTGATGCAACTCCAAAGCGCCACGAAACCTCGCCTCTTCCTTCTGCAACAGCTGCGCAGGCCAGGAAGTGTGGGGCGGATTTTACAGCATCCCTTAGTGCTATTAATAGGATTTTTCGAGACACCCTATAGGAAGTCCATCCCTTTACTGTATATTTGGAGAAGGGAATCAGCAGAATCTTATGTTGCTGTGAGTGCGGTAGGACCCACAAAAGGGGGATAATAATGGATTGTGTGACATACCCCATGTGGTGTAGTGGATAGTGTATCAGACCTGGACTCACGAGATCTGAGTTCAAATCCCCACCCAGCCATGGAAATTCCCTTGGTAAAACTATTTAAATATCTAATTTACCTAGAAAGTCATTTTAGAGTTACCCGGGGTCTCTTCCGAACAACAACAAATTCTGCCGTTCCAAACCTGGGGTCCCCAGATATTCTTCAACTACAACTCCTAGAAATCATAGCCAGCACAGCTAGCGGGCAAAGCTTCAGGGAGTTTTCATCCAAAAACCTCTGGCAACCCAAGTTTGAGAACTGTGTTTAGTCCACAGAAGCATGTCCTACAATTTTTATTTTATTTGTCAACTTATGGGTTCATGTCTAGAACCTACCAGTTTGATGAAGGCACCTTAAATTCCCAAAATATAATTTCTGAAGGAGCCAGTGGGGAAAAGGTGCCAACTTTAAGTAATGGTGCCAACCCAACAGATATATATATATATCTGTCGCTTTCTCTATGAACCTGTGGTATCTAACACGAACATCAACATAATGGCAACTCTACGGCCGAAATCCAGTCGGATGTTGTGACTACAGTAGATTCACGGGGGATCTAGTAGGCAAATTCTACCGATCTAACGGGCCTGCTCTAGTTCGACATTTTGTGTTTTAAAAGTTTCTTTACAGTAGATTCACGGGGGATCTAGTAGGCAAATTCTACCGATCTAACGGGCCTGCTCTAGTTCGACATTTTTTAATTTAAAAGTTTCTTCACCTGATATGGGCACGCACAGATTTTAATTCTTGAGCTCCGTAACAGCTCAAAAAAGTTGTTCCGTGTTCTCCAGCTTTTCTAAGGCTTCTCCAGCGCAGTGTCGGTTTTAAAGATGACCTGCGATTATTTTTTCCATCATCGCTTTGAAAAGCAGTCGCAACACCGAACAGGAGCCGAAATTCTCGGCGTGCAAATTCTGCCCAGGTTAATGGAAGAGGGTGTGTTTTTTTGTCCGCCACTCCGACGGGTGAATGAAGCCGGCTGTGCACACGAGGAAGGGGTGGAACCCCTCAGTAACCCAGGAGCCCAGGTTAATGGAAGAGGGTGTGTTTTTTGTCTGCCACTCCGACGGGTGCATGAAGCCGGCTGTGCGCACGAGGAAGGGGTGGAACCCCTCAGGAACCCAGGACTTACAGGAAGAGGAACAAGAAGTGCGCCAGGCGATCCTTATCGCCACACACACAGAGTCCGGATATGGACGCAGTCACAGCTCGAAGAGGAGGCAAAGAGGAGTGGAGTTTTGGCCTTCGGAAGGAAACCAGGCAGCTGTCACACCGCGCAGCAGCTTCCTGTCGGGGCCTCGCGTTCGCCCGAGGTGGCCGACAGCTGCAGTCAGGCGAGGATATGAGAGTGCCATTTCTGGACACTGCCCTGGATTTTGGGTCTCGGAAGGCGCCAAAGGCGGACAAAACCCACACCCGCCACATCCTTGGGTTCTCGCACACCGGCCGACAGCGTTGCGTCCATGATTCCCTTCTACTTCTCACCTTGGCCTGCCAGCGCAACCCTGTTTCGGCTGCGGCCGTTGTGTGTGCGAAAGGCGCATTGCTCTCCTGCTACCCACTTTTTATTCTTCCTGCTGAAATTCAAGATTCTTTCCTCCTCTGAGACATTGTGACCATCATACAGTGGGAAAACGTGGCGGAATTAATCACCAGCGCCTGATTTCATGCCAATGCATGGATGGCATATTATCTTAAATGTTGGTAGGTAAAGAAAAATGATTAAATTTAATACCGAGTCCTTTTCTTCTAACTGGCAGCGATCGCTTTGGTTTATTAGGCGGCGTGCAATCTTAAACACAGGAATGTTATCTTAAATGTAGAGTGTTTAAGGCAACGTACCACCTAGCAAACAAAAGTGATCACTGCCTGTTAGAAGAAAAGGACTTGTATTAAATTTAATTGATGTATTTTCTTATTTAATCTCTCCTGCAGTAACACAGAGGCCAGAATCCAAGTGAGCGTTTTCACCAGCATTCGGCAGGAAATAGCCACTAATTAGCAAGTCGCTGGCTGGATCGCTCTACGAGCTAAGTCTCTGGCTGCTGAGCCAGAAGCTGGGAGTTTGAATCCCCCAATGGGCCTCTTGGGGGAAAAGCCAGCCTGGGTGGCCTTGGGTGAGCTGCTCCATTCCAGGGTGCCCCCTAGAGGAAGAGAATGGGAAACCAACCTGGCTTCCCTGCCCCGACTCCTCTGTGTGCTGGTGGGCACCTGCTGGAGGAGGCACGGCTGGGAAGCATTGAACACCTGTTGGCCACTAAACAATACACCAGACATTGTTGTGATAGAACAATAGAACTGTCTGGATTGTTGACCTGGCCATTCCAAGGGATGCCAGAGATGAAAATAAAGAACTGGAAAAACCGACAAAGGACAGAGGCCTGGCCATCAAAACCTCTCGCTCGTGGATAAGACCCACTTCAGGGGTCCCCGTCATCATCGGGGCTTTGAGAACAATATCAAGAAATTTCACGCAATGTGATAAGCGGTTGCGGGTCTCAGAAATCACACCATCAAAGCTACAAAAAGTGGCAATATTAGCAACAGCATATATACGGTGCTGATATTTCACAGATAGTTAGATTTTTGGGGGCTAAAACTTTTACCTGTTATGCCATACCAGTCCATGTTTTTATCATTTTGATGGACTGTGCCTGGTATTCTGAATAATAATAAATATACCTTGTACTTGCCTATTAGACGAACAAATAATTTTATAAAACGGGGATGAGGGCTGTTCAAAAGCCGCTTGTGCTGGACCTTGAATTGGGTTCCTGACACATCCTTGCTTTTTTTTTCCCCAAAAGAATCCATCGCCTTGCAAACTTCTCACCAAAACCGCTTCACTTCATTCCGACGGCATAAATTCACAACCAGAAGGGAGAACTTTTTTTTTTAACTGCCAAGGATGCCAAACCTTTGGGAGGCAGAAAGCTCTGCCCGTCTCCAGCCGATTGCCCAGAAATCTACTTGTTTAGACCAGATCTCATTGGGGCCCTAAGATGTCGAAAAGGCGGCACTTCCCTTATTCTTCTGAGAAGCAAGGGCGCGGAGAAACAAGACCGAACAAGCATGGCACGGATCCTCCCGTTTCCCGACCCAGATTACGAGTGACATGATCTTCCTTATCGTGCTCCCCCCCCCAGCCCGCACAAAGATACCCCCCATCCCCACCGAGCATCCGTCTTGCTCTGTCCTTATGACCAGCAGCAAAATCTTAGTTTTGGTGGATCGGATGCCCTTCTGTGCCTGCACGTTGTCGTCGCTTCCCTCGATGTCATTCCAGAAGGATCAAGCCGGGTTGACAGATCCCCCCTCGAGGAGAGCAAAGATGTTGCGAAATTTCCCTTGCCGAACAGAGTCTGGAGGTCAGGGACCAGATGCCGGCGGAGGGGCGGGCGTTGTGAGTCAACCACACAGGCCCGTTCTACTCTTGACAAGGCCTTCTCCCATTTCTTGGTCTTTCTCTCGTTCCACGGTATTCTTCTAACAATGCAACCTTCTCCGCCAGGTCCTGCTTCTTTCAAGGGGAAATGACTCTCCGTCAAGTTGGGCTTAAATTACACCAACGATTCAACTCAGAGCTGTTTTTCCAAGGACTTGGGATCCACCGACCCTTCCCTTTTTTTCTGGGGAAAAAAACGCTTGTTTTTCATAGGGGGACAGATTTGGGACTTGGTCCCAAAGACCTGCCAACCCCACCTTTCTGGGTTCACAGGTCTCGGGGTGCCAGCTAGAGAGGGTCAATCCAGCTAATTTGGAAAAAAAACACCGCAGCTCTCTGGAGAAGCCCACTGAACACATCTGGAGTTCCCCAGATGCAGTCCGAGAAAATGCATCGCCAAGAAAACTGCCTAATCACACAAGTTAGTTGAGCAGCCGGTGAACCCTTTATAATCCACCAACATTAACTTCTAAAGTTACACAAGTTAGTTGAGCAGCCGGTGAACCCTGTATAATCCACCGACATTAACTTCTAAAGTTAATCGACACCTTGAACATAACACACCAGGCATCTTCATGATAGGATGAAGAAATGTCTCGATCATTGACACGCCAATTCTAGGGGATGCCAGAGCTGAAGATAAAGAATTGGAAAAACTAACCAAGTACAGAGACCTGGCTGTCGAAGCCTCTTGAAAAACTAACCAAGTACAGAGACCTGGCCGTCGAAACCTCTCGCCTCTGGAAGAAACACGCTTCGGGGTCCCCGTCCTCTGGAAGAAACACGCTTCAGGGGTCCCCGTCGTCATCGTGGCTTTGGGAACAATATCAAGAAATTTCACGCAATGTGATAAGCGGTTGCAAATCTCAGAATTTACACCATCAGTGCTAGAAAAAAAACCCCAGCAGTATTAGGAACAGCATACATACTGCGCCAATGTTTAACAGATAGTTAGGTTTTTGGTTAAAACCTATCTCATACATACTGCGCCAATGTTTAACAGATAGGTTTTTGGTTAAAACCTATATCTTATATGATGCCAGTTAATATTTTTATCATTTTGATGGACTGTGCTTAGTATTTTGAATAAGCACATCTTACGTCCCTGCTGTAGATCTGAAACATTTGCTGCCAAATTGATGTTGAAGCAAATATTATCCTCCCAGGCACGCAAACCTTTCAGCGCTCTGTTCCTGAGCCATCCGATCTGCAAAAGCCCTGCTACTTCCCAAATGACCAAACCGCCAGGCAAAACGACGCAGGCTCCTTGGCCAAATGCATCGGGAAGCGTGCTCACGTCAAAGCAAACCGTGAGTCTCTCTTTATTCAGGACTGGGTGTCCTGTTTTTAGATCACCTTCTTGTTTACCCTTGCGTCTAATGAGAGTTGCCCAATCCAAATAGCCGGGCTGCTGGTGGTTCAGAAGCCATGAGTCACCCCTTTGCCTTGCGTTCAAACCTGGATTTCACTTCCATGAGTCACATGTTAATGGTGGCAAGCTCCCTCTTGCAACCGGCTCATTCCCTGAAATGGGAAACTTTAAAAAGAAAAGCTACGACGCTCAGACTATCCTAGGGCCTGCTGTGAGTTGTCTGGAAGGTTTTAAGTCTTGCAGTCCCCCCAAAAAGTAACTTTTCTCATGCCTGATTCACTCCTATGTCCGGGTACTAGCCACGGCATCCATGTGGGCCAGTATTAAGACTTCCGTCCTGTGCCTCCTACAACGGAATGGCCACTCTGCAAGATTTTGTTGTAGCCCGACACACCCGGCCACACACACTTTTCCCCAACCTGCAGGGCACTTGATAAACCCCAAATACACAATTTACACCGACAGAAGTGTTTCCTCGGACATTGTTACAACCCAGGACTGCTTTCCAGCCAGTCCGAGGGTGTAATCTACGGATCTTAAATGGCTGGCCTTTCTGCCCCCAATTTCCATGCCTCCTTCATCTGAATTCCAGTACGACGCCCCCTACCTGCAGGGTCAGTATCCACTCACTCACTTCTCCGCTACCTGAAAACACAGAATAACCCACCAACCCCAGAAATACATATTTCCCATGTATTTCCAGGGTGTATTTACCAGATCTGGCCATGGGAGGAAGCCAGAGATCATGCAATGGATAGCGTTTGATATTTCCAGGTTTGGTTTATTTTTTTTGGCCTCTGCGGGAGGGGGACCTTGGAACTCATCTCTTGAGGATGGCACGGTCGATATTTTAAATCCTCTTCACATATAGAAGAATGTTTGTAAACCTCTTCCCATTCCCACCCTGTTCCTACCCCCCCTTTTTTTTCGGACAACAAGGGAAAAAGAAAGTAAGAACAGAAAGATGGATTAGCCAAAGAGATGGGAGGAGATTCTGTCTGTCTGTCTGTTGGTTTTCGGACCACAGCTCCCATGTGAGATGATAGCCAAGGCGAGGAGAAGGGAGCATCATCCAATTCAGGCCAATGGCTCGCAATGGGCACTAGCCACATCAGGCTAACCATCTGAAAAAGGACCGGGCATCTCCAGGGATCGGTGCCAACGATGGAGAAAGATTTCCATATGCTTGAGAGATATAAAATTTATAGAGATATAAAATTTCCAAAACATTTCCATTTTGTTCCAGAAAAAAAATATTGGGTGGAAAGGGGAAATGTGGTGGGGTGTTTTTTTTTTCCGGGAGAAAAAAAATTGGAAATTTTCAGAAATTGTCCATTTCTATTTGAAACCACGGAGAGTGGCCGAGAGGCTCGCTGGCTAGACAAATCACCATGGATGATGCCTCTTCTAGAGCAGCCTGTCTCAACTGGTGGTGGTGGGGGAATAGGGCCCCCAGGGGTGCACATCTGAAGAGGCCACGGACTGGAAACCATTCTTTATGCATCAACTTCTGAGGTTCATTATATGAATTCTACAATCCTGATTCGGTTTGCATTTCTTCCCAGTTGTGTTCCCAGCCGTGGCCAAACCGAGGCCGAGAAGGGCTATCCCAGCATCTCCTTGCATGGAAGAAAAAGTGATTGCTCTGGAGAAAAATAGACCCACCTCTGGTTTTTGGTGGAGTTCTGACCTGGAACAAGCCTAGTTTGCTTAATTTTTTTCTTTTTTTACCTTCTCTGAAATCCGTTTCTTGTTTATTCCCCAAACCGGAGTTGTAGGTGACCATCGCAGCTGGCTTGTTGGCATCCTTCTCCTCTGGATCAGCCTCCTTTCTTCAGGAAAACTCCCTTCTCCCTTTTATCCTGGAGGAAAGGAACTTACACCTGCCTGGAAAAACTGGGGGGAGGAGCCTCCCCAGGCCACGCCCCCTTTCCCCCAGAGAGACTCACCTGAGAGGCCAAGCCTCTGCCTCCTATCAGGGAGCTCCCATTACTCTTCTGGACTACATTTCCCAGGCACCTTCGCCAGCGGGGGACGAGAGAGCGCTGGAAAAGTTTCCCAGGTGAGCTGACAAAGGTGGCTTTCCCGTTACTGGGAAACGTTACTTTTTTGGGGGGGGGCGTGGAATTCCCAAGAACCTTTGGCCAGCCTGGCTGAGAGGAGGGAAACCTTTTGCTGTCTTTAAAAGCGCATTGCTTAGCCAGCTTGGCGAAGCGCTTGGGCGCATTCCCTTCCCGGGAGCGCGCAGTCCAGCCGTCCTGCGGGGCCGTCCCCGGCCGCGGCGCTCCTCTTCCTCCCCCTCCCTCCCTCGATCATTCCAGCCAAGCCCCCCCAAAAAAAGCCTGCCCGGTATTTGAATAGCACAAAGGAACCGCCTCGCCTGGATTGGCCAGGGGGACCTCGGCGGGGCGGGCGGTGGCTGCCAATCCCACCCCACGGAGCCCGGCTATTGGCCCTGGTGGCCGGGGGAGGGGCGGCGGGGAGGGTACAAATAGCGGGGGCTGGGGAAGGGAGCGCGGATCGCCTGGCACGCCGGAGCGCCGGCGGACGGGAGCTGCTGCGCCCGGGCGGAGAAGCAGGAGGAGGCACCCGGCGCGCAAAGGCAGGCAGGCAGGCAGGCAAGGGAGAGAGGCGGCCAGCTCCAGTTCCCAGGCGGTGGAGGGTGCCCGTCGCCCTCCTGAGAGTCCCCGCTCGGCCTCTTCCCTCCCTCGCTGCTGCTTGCGCGGATGCGGACCGGGGAGCGCGGCGGCGGAGGCGGTGGCGGCGGCGAGCAGCGCACCAGCCACGGTCGATGCTGAAGGGCCGGCGGCGGCGAGGAAGAGGAGGAGGAGGAGGAGGAGGAGGACGGCGGCGGCGGCGTTGGCGGCGGCGGCGGCTGATGCTGCTGATGATGATGGAGGGCGCCCTCGACGCCCAGAGCCTGATCAGCCTCTCGCTGCGCAAGATCCACAGCTCGCGCACCCAGCGCGGGGGCATCAAGCTGCACAAGAACCTGCTGGTCTCCTACGTGCTGCGCAACGCCCGCCAGCTCTACCTGACGGAGCGCTACGCCGAGCTCTACCGGCGCCAGGACCACCATCACCACCACCACCATCATCACCACCATCATCATCACCACCACCACCACCTCTACCTGGACGGGCCAACTCATGCGGGATCCGGCTGCGCCCCGGCGGACTTTAGCAGCCCCTTGCCGGCGGAGCTGGAGAGCCCCGAGGACGCGCTCCTGGCCGCCCCCAGCGCGGCGCCCGAGGAGGAGGAGGAGCAGGACGCGCTGGGATTGGGACCCGGAGCGGGACCGGCCGCCC